ACTAGTATAACATTCTCCTCTCCCATAGAAAAATAGATATATGATTAAAAATAAATACTATATAAATAGAAAAAAAATATTACATGAAAATCAAAAACGTATAATAATCAAAGAACTAGCATCTACAATAGATATCAAAATATGTAATACTCATATAACAATAATATTCATCATGAAATAAACCAGCATCTACAATAAAAGAAGTAAGGATAATTTCCATAACAGATAGCCAAGTAACCTCAACAATACCTCAATCGGTGGTGGTACAAAGGGTTCTTGCCTGGGTTCAAATAGCTTGCCCTCTTCTAGGCCTCGGACATCAACCCCCTCAGCTCCTTGCTGGTGGCCTGGAAGATGGATAAACTGTAGAGCATTGATCTTTAGTAATGGAAATATATAAGAAAATGTACATATGTACTTGAAATGCTTTCATCTGTAAACATAACTGAGAATAGAAGTGGATTATGTTTTAAAGTTTATATATTTCAGTAACTGTAAGCCAAAATAATAATATATACATTTGCTTGCACTGCTGTGGTTAAAAGTACATATTTTGTTAGCCATTTAATTATGTTTGTTTGCATGCATATACTTATTTCATACCAGTCTGCACATACTCCCTAGCATGCACGTGTCTGCACTGGAAAATCATATGCAATTCTCTAAAATTCTTGCATATATGAAGTCTATACAGGGAAAGCACAAGAAACAACATAACTCACTTTAAAGTAATTTACATAAAATGTCTCTTAGGAAATGGAATATAATGAAGCTACATATTTACGAGCATTGTATACAGTTGGCCCACATTATACACAAGTTTGATGTTTTCACATCTTAGTATCTCCAAGCTTAGCCTGAATATATATCAAGGTATACGAAGATAACATAAAAGTAACAAATAATAATATAAAGCAGCAGAACAAAATTATATGTAATAAATATATATAAAGTACTTTGAACAAGCATTACTGCTGAGCAATGAATGTGGGCATCCTTTTCCTGCCCTCTCTTTTACATAAGCAGTTGGCAGTGTCTGTATTTGGCTGCATCATTGTGAACATCGCTTTTGTGTTTTACTGCATTTATCACTATAACGTACAGTAAACCCTTACTTTATGAATAATTGCTTGAAATTTTTGCGTACATACTACAATTCAATGCAGAAAATACATTTGCATACAAAATTTTATAAAAATTACAGACATACGTATGTATACACAATAATACTTACGTATGTTAGAAAACCTGTTTCGCCTAGAGTGGATGATGTATGAAGAAGTTATAGGATCGAAGGGAGTACGAACAGCTGGCTCATTTGCCGAAAATGAATGTGCATGAGCAGTGCCAGACATGCCCCTACAGCACCTGCCACCACACTCTTTAACTTTTTCCCACAGTGCCTTGTTCCTGCCAAACGCTTTAACTTTCTCCCATAATGCAATTACTTTCCGCTGCCGTTTGGAAACATTACCAGCCTCATCACAAGCCTTACGCTTTGGCCCCATGTTAGCAACCAAGTACACAAGAACTAATTCACAACAAACACGTACAAGCTATCAGCATATGTATGCACTCCTAACCTGCTCACTTTGCTGCTGCAGTAAGTACCTTTGGTTTCTATCAAATTCTTTATGTTTACAGCATATGATCTAATTTCATCTAATTGGGGCCAAAAAACTAAAACAATCGAAAGCAATGCAAAAAAATTGTATAAAACAATGGTTTACTGTACTCTGAATAAATCATTTCATAATGATTGTCATATTCATACATATCTATATATTCATGGTATATCTCTTAACATTTCTGTGATTTAATCCTTCAAGTATTTACTTTCTGTATTCAAAATGATACAACGATCAAACATTAATGCATGTACACATATGATGCACTTTGAATAAGTACCTACTTGCATTAATCTTAAAGCAGTAAAAATGTATTTCTGTATTGTCTATAAAGAGAGAAAGTTACTTTTATAAATCTAACCCAGCAAAATAGTCTTCAAAATTATGCAACTATCACTGCCTTACTACAGACTAGCCTATTTATGCTTGCAATATCCAGAGCATGTATTCACAAACTGTTAATATTTGTAATGGGTTTATAAATCTAACCCTCATTAAATTTATGGGCCAACTGTACTTTGCAATTATCAGTGATGGGGAGGAGGTGGAGTCAAAATGTGGTACAAACAAGTAAGTGATGGTTGGAAAGATGTTTTTATAATTCCCTAAAGGATTAATATTGACAGGTTAGAGGAGAAAATAAATAATTAAAGCCACCTTATTTTTGTGTGCAACAGGTTTGGAACAGGACTGATATATATCATCTGACTAACAAAGTCATTCCTTTGACTTCATGTGAGGCACATTTTTTATATCATGTCTGTTTCAAATTGAATATGATTAACCATGCATAAATATTCCAGAAGCATTTCCACCAGCATGACTTTATAGCCTAGAAAATAGCATAAATATCTAATTCTAGTTGGGAGGAG